CGCGCCGCCCCGCGGCCCCTCCGGGCCAAAGAGCCTCCCCAGCAGCTTCTCCTGCTGAGGCAGGGCAGAAAACAGAGTGAACAGGGAGAAAAGGGGCTGCTCTGTGCCAGTCAAGAGTATCAGCGCTGTGGTGAAACCTGCTCTTGCTACAAGTATCATAAAACGGGCAGTGTTCAGAATCTCAGGCTCGAAGGTAACATATGGACAAGCCAGGGTGCTCAAAAGCAAAACTGCTTCATTTGCAGGTGCTAAGGGACAACTCATGTACATCAGTTCCATCAGACTGCTTTGTACACCTGTACACATCTCTTCCCTGAATGAAGCTTTTTGGGTTTTGTACTAAAATGTATCCTGGTGCAGAAAGCACTGCTTTAAAAAGCTCGCTTGTTTTTGTAGGGAATCAAAAACTTCCTGTCAACCTACCAGGAAGGGAAAATGACATCAGTTAGTGCAGTTTGAATCTGCAGAATCTGTCCTGGGATACAGTACTGTGCAGTGACTGCTGTGAAGTGTTCACAGAATGACTAGGTTGGCAGAGATCTTCATAGAGTCCAACCCAGAGTTGGGTTACCCCATACACTCTTTTCAACTAAAAATGGGAAGCATCACCCATCAGCATTCACAGTCCTGCTGTGGTGAGACAGAAGTGAGAAGCAGCTGTACACAAGAATTGAACAGGAATGGTGATGGTAGGTCTTTGCTGTTGAATCACTTTTGCTGCCATACATTTACGAAGCAGAACATGCACGTTTTTAGGGACTGTGCATAGAGGAGGAGCAGACAGACACAGCAGCAGGTACCTGGGTGGCTGACTCACCTGCAGGTGCTGGAAGCGGCTTTCGGACGAGGCGAGGATCCCGGCCAGCTGCAGGGTGAAGGACAGGATGCCGGGGCTGGCATCGGGCAGGGCCAGCACGGAGCTGAGGAGCTCTGTCAGACACGGGTTGTCCTGCACCAGCTCCACAGTGGGGTCTGCCCAGGAGAGCAGAAAACATCAGCTCACTAGGCCAGGACTGAGCTCTGCAGAGCTTCCAGAGTCCCACTGCCAGGACTGTCCTGCCTCACTAAAACGGTTCCCTGAGCTGAGCGGTTCAAAAGCAAAACTGCTTTGTTTGCAGGTGCTAAAGGACAGCTTATGTGTATCAGTTCCATCAGACTGCTTTATACACTAGTACACATCTCTTCCCTGAATGAAGCCTTCTGGGTTTTTGTATTAAAATACAAAATTTGTATTAAGCCTTGCCAGCTGCTAGAAGTGATGAGTTTGGGGGCACCCACAGCGGTTTTGGGTGTCACAGCACCTCAAACAGCAGAGCAGGCATTCCAACCCCACCTGGACCCCTGTTCCCGTGCCACCTGCTCCAAGTGACCCTGCCTTGGCACGGGGCTGCACTGCATGATCTTCGGAGCTCCCTTCCAACCCGAACTACTCTGCGATCCCGTGATGGATCTCCGCTCCCCTCGGACCGGCCCCCGGCGCTCACCGAACCACGTCAGGCTGCGGAACCAGTCCAGCAGTTTCTCCAGGCAGGTGTC